CCTAAATGACTCAACACTATCACACCCAGTTGAGTTCCGTGGAAATTGAATTCGATGATGAAGTTCGAGCTTTAATTCTCTTATCATCTCTACCAGACAGTTGGAATGTTACTGTTCAGCATCAACAGCTCGGGAAACAGCAATTAAAATTCGACGATGTTCAAGATCTGGTATTGAGTGAAGAATTCGACGAAGAGAATCGGGTGAAGCATCAACCCCTCAGCCTTGCACACGGAGTCTAGAGGGAGAACTTCATAAAGAAATTCAAATCGTGGAGATCAAATCCAGAAGGGAAAATCAATAACGAGAAAGAAGATTTTACCTGTTTATAACTACGGCAAGGGTCACTTTAAAAGATATTGCCGAGCACTGAAGAAAAATACCGGCGCACAGGATTCTGCCAAAGTGACAGAGGAGACAGGTGATGCCATGATTCTAAGCTCAACAGTCCGATTGAATCCTAGATCTTGGATTCAGGGGCATCTTTCCACTCCACCCCATGGTGAAAAATCATGGAAACTATGTCTGTGGTGATTTTGGGAAGGTTCATCTAGCCGATGATGAAACCTTGAAGATCGTCGAAAAAGAGACATCCGATTAAAGTTGCCAAAACCAGACCACCTGGACGCTGAAAGGAGTGAGACATATTCCTGGCCTCAAAAGAAATTTGATTTCTGTAGGACAGCTTGATTGAAGGATTAGCACAACCTTTTCAGGCTGTGAATGGAAGATTACTAAAGGAGCACTCGTCATTGGCTCGTGGTAAAAACTGGTACTCTCTATATAACCTCAAATTTAGAGAATATCATTGCAGTAGCAGATGCTGATGGAAAATCAACATATGGCACCAAAGGCTTGGCCATATGAGCGAGAAAGGGATGAAGACACTTTTTTCAAAGGGGAAGTTGCCGTATCTAAAGAATGTAGTGTCGGACTATGCGAGGATTGCATCTTTGGCAAACAAAAGAAAGTCAGCTTTGCAAAGATTGGTAAGACACCCAGGCTGAAAAGTTAGAGTTGGTTCATACTGATGTATGGGGACCATCTCCAGTTCCATCTCTTGCAGGTTCACTATATTATGTCACCTTCATCGATGATTCTACAAAAGGTGTGGGTTTATTTTCTGAAGAAGAAATCAGAAGTCTTTGATACCTTCAAAATGGAAGGCCATGGTGGAAAATGAGACTGGTCTGAAAGTCAAGCGGTTGAGGTCTGACAATGGAGGAGGGTACAGAAATAGGAGATTCAAAGACTTCTGTGCAAACAATGGGATCAGATGGAGACAACAGTTCCCATGACACCGCAGCAAATGGCGTAGCAGAGCATGAACAGAACTCTGAATGAACGTGCCAGCATGAGGAACATGTCGGATTGCCCAAATATCTATGGGCTGAAGCTATCAACACTGTTGCTTACCTGATCAACCGTGGGCCCTCAGTTCCTTTGGATGGCAGAATACCAGAGGAAGTTTGGAGCAAGAAAGAAATAAACCTTCACACTTAAGAGTGTTTGGTTGTATTTCTTATGTACACATAGACTCTGCTGAAGAAGTAAACTTGATGCTAGTCGAACAAATGTGCCTTTGTGGTTACGGCGGTGATGAGTTCGGTTACCGGTTTTGGACTATATGCAATCGGAAGACATCAGAGCAGATATTCATTTTCAATGAGAATGTGATGTACAAAGACATGTCAATTGTAGAATCAAGCAGCTCCAATACCAAAGCTGAACAAAGGAATTGCTGAGTTCGAGGAGATTTCTGGAAATGATGTTCAGAATAGTCCTGAAAGCATTCAAGAAGAACCGGCACACTGGAACTAAGACACTCCTCCAGAATTCCTAAACCAACCAACGGTATTCTCTTTCTTTGCACTACTTGTTGCTGACTGACAATGTGAACCAGAGTGCTATGATGAAGCAATGCAAGTGGAGGATTCAGTCAAGTGGGAGTCTTCCATGAAAGATGAGATGGACTCGCTTATGTCAAATCAGACGTGGGAATTAGCTGAATTACCACCAGACAAGAAAGCGCTTCACAACAAGTGGATTTACAGGATCAAAGAAGAATACGATGAGAGCAAACGTTACAAAGCAAGATTGGTTGTCAAGGTTTTAGCAAAAGAAGGTATTGACTACATGAAATTTCTCTCCAGTCGGGAAACTGTCTACTATCAGACTTGTGTTGAAAATTGTAGCTGCAGAAAATCTACATCTTGAGCAGTTAGATGTAAGACAGCTTTCCTTCATGGTGATTTGGAGGAAGAAATCTATATGAGGCAGTCAGAAGGCTTCATAGTGGCAGGCAAAAAAACCTGTATGCAGTTGAAGAAAGCTGTATGGTCTAAAACAAGCTCCTAGACAGTGGTACAAAAAGTTCGATAGTTTCATGGGTAGCAGTGGTTTTACCAGATGCCAAGCAGATCATTGTTTCTACATCAAGAGGTTCGATAATAGCTTCATTATTTTATTGTTGTACGTTGATGACATGCTCGTTGCAGGCTCAAACATGCAAGAGATCTAAACTTGAAGCAAAAATTATCGAAGCAATTTGCAATGAAAGATATGGGCGCTGCAAAAGCAGATTCTTGGGATGAGGATCAAGAGAGACACAAAGTCGGATTTTGATGTTATCACAAGCTGAGTACATCAACAAAGTACTCTCCAGGTTCAACATGCAAGATGCTAAACCAGTAAGTACACTTTTAGGTGTTCATTTCAGACTCTCCAAAGACCAATCACCAAAGACGGAGGAAGAACATGCACACATGGTGAAGGTACCGTATGCCTCAGCAATTAGAAGTCTGATGTATGTCATGGTTTGTACCACCAGATATTGCTCATGCAGTGGGAGCTGTTAGCAGGTACATGAATAATCCGGCAAGGTACACTGGGAAGCAGTCAAATGGATCCTCAGATATCTACGGGGTACCACAACAAACACTTTGTTTCAAAGGTGGAGATACGACACTGACAGGCTATATGCTGACTTAGCCGGAAATGTCGACATCAGAAGAAGCACTACAGGGTATGTCTATACTCTAGGAGGAACTGCAGTGAGTTGGGTTTCTCAACTACAGAAGATAATTGCTCTCTCCACAACTGAAGCAGAATATGTCGCTGTTACGGAAGCCAGTAAGGAGATGGTTTGGCTCCAAAGTTTCTTGGAAGAGTTAGGCAAGAAACAAGAAAACAATATCTTGTATTGCGACAGTCAAAGTGCTATCCATCTAGCGAAGAATCCGTCTTTTCATTCCAGGACAAAGCATATACAATTGAGATATCATTTTATACGGTCTCTTCTGGAAGATGGGATTTTGAAACTTGAAAAGATTAGTGGAGCTCAAAATCTAGCAGACATGTTAACAAAGACGGTGACTATAGACAAACTGAAGTTGTGTTCAGCTTCAGTTGGCATGCTAGAGTAATAAGACTAGAAAAGCTGCTGCATTGATCGAGGAGTGAAGACAGATTAAAATCAGTCTTCAAGTGGGAGATTGTTAAAGTCAAGGATGCACGCACCAAATATGCATAATTTCAATGGGTTGGCACCGAATGTGCATAATTTCAATGGACTGGCAATTGTTTATTAAAATAGAAATAGGGTTAATTACAAGATTAGTCCCTAAGCTTCAACTATAAATACCCTAGCTCATTTAGCTTCAAAATCATCCCAAAACATTTATTTCTTCCTATACTAGAGAGCTTTCTTGTGAGTAGTAAGTGTTTTGTAAACAATTGGCTGAACTCCGTATCAATTTTCGGGTATTATTTTTCCACTTTATTTCGCATTCTCACTAATCTGGTTATAAGGAAATTACTTGTACTCGGTTTATTTCCTAACAGTGGAGACCGACTGTAAGGCTTCTGTTGAGTTGATCAACAAGGCGGGCGATTCCGGGGGGCATACGATGCTGGTTACACTGATTAGTTCTCTCATTAATAAGGCTTGGTAAGTAAGAGTTGATCATATATATCGTGAAGCAAAAAAAGTGGCGGATCAGCTGACAGCAATGGCGAGGAATTGTACCACTGCTGTGATACTACATGGCGAGGCATCGAGGGAAGTGGAAGACCCGCTGGCTTTCGATAGGGCTCAATCCGAGTGATTTGAGTAGTCTTTCTGTATTACAAAAAATATAGATATGACCATATCTGACCACATCGATAAAACGATCCACAAAAAGAGATTAAGCTACTAAAAGATCACCAACAAAAGCAAATAAGAGTCAAGCAACGTGAAAAAACCATCCACAAACCAAATAGTGTATCCAAATCTAATCCGACGGTCCAAAGTAGGAAAGATCAGCATGATAACAAACCAGTACAAAGGTTGATCCGTCTATGAAGAGGTAGAGATAGCTTTAAGGTTTTTGGAAGATAAGACTGCTAGGGTTGAATAATCAATCAATTATACCTTAAAATCAACTCTAAAATCCTAATTAAGAATTTCCATTCAGAACTTCATAATCCAAGCTAACTCATAACTTCACTCACCACCTAGCATCATAATGCCACGTACAAACTTGTTCATAGTTCAAGTTGACGATCTTTAGTTAAGTTTGCAAACCAAAATTAAAATAAACTTCAATCCATTAGGTAAATCGATTTTACCTGAACAATGAATAGCGCTAAGAAAAAAATGGAAAATATATATTCATTTCGTTGAAGGATTAATCTTTGAGAAATGGAAAGAACAAAACCACGTTTCACAAATCCCAAGTTTCGTGTCGGAGATATCTTAACGGAAGATGCCTTTTTCCAACCAATTCCAGCATTTAAGCAACTTCAATTGTTTGGTTACTTACCAATTTCGTTTTTCTAAAATAATAATTATTATTATTAAATTGTTTTAAAAAATTAGTAATAATTGATTCTTAAATGTTCCAGCCATGTGCACATGGCGTTGCTGTCTTCCTTATCACTTCGTTCATGGATCTTGTTCATTTGTCTCCTCGACTAATTACAATAAAACATTATATAATTCATCCAAAATAAAATAATGCGTATTGCAAGAATCTTTTCATATAATATTACATTAAAGAAAAGAAATCACATGCAAAAAATATTACAAAATAAGGAGTGGATTAAAAAAAGAAAGCTCATGACAACTAACTTAAAACATTAATAATAGTTTTAGGTTATTAATTATTACACAAGCCATGCATGGACAGAAGAAATTAAAACAGTCTTATAGACATTTTGATTTCTCGTCTCTTAATAGTTTCTTCTTCTTTTTTCATGCCGATGATGAACACATTCAAACTCCCTGCTCCATCCTTCTCTAACCGGTTTGATGTTGTGTTTTACTTGGTTCTCGGTTGATATTGTTGTGTCATAAAACTACCATCATCAACTTCTGTTCTTGCACTTCTCCACTGCTCTTGGTGCTGCAGTTCCAATGAAAAATTAATCTATCATACGATATCAAATTTTGCATTATCAATTCATGATTCAAAATATTATATAAAAATAAGCGTAAATTACAAAAAATGATCCATGACTATAGGATGGTGCATTGTTGAGTCTCCTTACTTTTACAAGTTAGGAATGATCCCCTGACTATAGGGTTTTACTTTATTGAATCATCCGACTATTAAAAGTTACAAAATTATCACCTAACTATTCTTATGTTTCAAACCCGTCCTTTTTTGTTAAATTGACGACGACATGAGTTTTACATTAATATGTTGATTGTGATATGATAAAATTTGACCTCAAAATCTCAAACGACTATCATATCTCAGTCAACATGTTAACTTCCATCTCATATTGTCATTAATTTTTTAACGAAAAATGATGAGTTTGGAATATATGAATAGCCGAGTGACCATTTTGTAACTTTTAGTAGTCAAGGGACTCAACAAAGCACATTATATATAGTCAGAGGATAATTTTATGACTTTTAATAGTCAGAGGACTTGATAAATCAATATCATATAATCAACTACTTTACCCTAAAATTAAACAACTAACCAAGTTAAATTGCCTCAGATCCTTTCATGATTCGTAAACGTTTGCATGAATCGACAAACATCCTATATGGTAACATAAAACGAGTTAATTCAGATCATGAAATTAACTAGAAAAAGAGTTATTTATTGAAGTTGAAAAATTAACTTACTCCCATGGGACATCACCAACAAGCATCCAATCTCCATCTTTATCTTCATAAGTAGGAACATATTCAGAACCATTTAAAAGATCTATTAATTTACTTTCGTTCATGAAATCTTTCTTTCCTTGCGAGCCACCACAGTTACCAATGGTGAAGGAGCTGAACATTTTGCCCAAGGCATCAGATAGTTCTTGGTAACTCTTGTATAATTTCAAGTCTACCTTGCGTAGATATGGTGCACCATCCATACAGACCTTAATGAACGCGGCCGGTGGTGCCGCGTTGGCGGTCATGGTGCCGCTGCTTCCGCTCCCGGCTTTCTCGTCCTGGTCGGCGTTGTTCTTCTGAACCGTCAGGATGTTTTTCCGGAAGGACCGGACCGGTGGCCATCCGACCACTTGTGTCCTGAAATCAAATATTCAAATTTACCATAACATCATTACTGACATTTACCTTAAGTTTGATAGGTTAGCTAAACTTTTGAATTATTGTTTGGTTGCCGGGAAAAAGTAAGAAAGTTTCCACATGTTTTGTTTTGTTTTTTTCCTATTTTCCCCGGCAAACTATTAAAGCCACCAAACATCCCACTTAAAACTGTTTACGCCTCTTTACAAGGCCAACATTCAATCAACACTAATCTTCTTTATCGTTCAAACTAGCATTCAGCAACTAATAACAGTACCAAAAAGAATTTTCACCGACGAAAACTTTTTGTCGCCAAGAAACTGAATTATTTCATTGAAAAATATGCTCATGCTTCTTCATGCTCACTTTACTTTATTTTTTCTCTACAAAATCGTAGTTGAAGTTAACTCGGTAATAAAATGTAATATTAATTTTCTTTTTGAGTTTATGCAATTCCACCCGTAAAATATATGTAGTGACGGAGCTATGTAGGCCCCGGGGCCACTGCCTCGAATTGTTTTACCATTAAAAATTAGGTATAACCATCGATTTAGACTTTTTAAATTTTGATTTATTTTGATTTTATCCTCTCTTTTTTTCTATTGTTAATTATATTTTACCCCTAAATTAAAATCCTGACTCCGTTCCAGCGTGTATGTATTGTTGGATCACTAAAAAACAAGATTAACTAACAAAGAACATATTGTATCATCAAAAGCTAGAGGAAATATATAATAATGGTAGATTACTTTACAGGCGGTTTTGCAGTGTTCTTCTTCTCCATCTTCTCAGCTTCATCCACCGATTCTTCCTTTGTTGTTGTTGAAAGGTTAAGCTTCAAATCAACCATGTCCGAGTACCCTCTTTTCCCATTATTTTTGGCCGTCTCGTTGTCGTTTTCAACGCCTCCGGGCAACCCTAAACGTAACTCGGTGTCTTCGAAATTAATCGTGCTATACTCGTCACGATTCGAACCCATAACGCTGCTCATTATGTTAACTATACGTGGAAAACTCGAAATCGATCCCAATTTAATCTTCTCTCTCTCTCTACTTGCCTTGTGCTTTCTTCTGTGTTTTCTTTTTCTCTCTTTGTTTCTCTCGATATGTTTTGGTGAGTGAATAAAATGCAAAGTGTTGAGAAGGCCAAAATTTGGTTTATGTCAAAATGATAATATATGGTTTCGGAATGTTATGTTCGTGGGACATGGACGGTGGAGATTGTGCCAAGTGGAAGTTAGTGTTGCTTCAACCGTCCAAGTTGTGTCGGGAAGGTGACGTCACGGGTGATGTTATATAAGACCCATGATTTAAAATCACGGGCTTCATAAAACATTTTTCATTAGTTTTATATTATTTAATATTAGGTTCCATTGTATATTATTGTATTATAAGTAATATATTCTACTAAGTATATCCGATTAATCAAATTATTTATCTTCTTTTATTTATATTTCTTTAATTTATAAGTTTTAAACTCGTTAACCATAGTCATTTTCTTTGTTTTAGAGTCTTGTATTATTTTTTAAATAAAATTAAGATTAAACTTAGAATTTATAAAAAAGTAAATTAAAATAAAATAAAAACTATCAACATTTTATCCATAGTAAATTAAAATAAAAAGTAAGTTTTTATTTAATATATTATGTGATCAAACTATCAACATTTTACGCCATCAAAATTTAACAAAGCGATAACTTTTATGATTAACATTTAAAAACTTAACAAAACGATAACGTTAGTGATTAAAATTTTTAAAAAAAATTATTTTTGTAAACAAAAATATACAAATATTAAAGATACGTGTTCATCTCAATAATGCCACCTCTCTTTCTCTCCATTTATCTTCACCATCGACCATAAAAACAATCAAAATAAAAATATTATTTATCTAAAGACTTCAAAAGCTTTTAAGTAATTTTATTTTTTTTAGTTTGCAATAAAGGGTTTGGTCACACCATTTACCAAACTATAGTGTCCTTTTCTTACATTAAATATATTGCATGTGGGAAATTGCACTTTTGACTTCTCCGATACAAAATACAATGCGATAGAAACTACTAGATTAAGCTATGAAAAGGGCTTATAAAAAATATAATTATAGTCATATAAAGTTTAATTCAGTAAAAAAATTAACTTTTGTTATTATTGAATTGAAATGACTTTTTTTCATTCTTAATTATTATATTGCATAATCTTTAAAAAGTAATATCTAATATTTTAACTATTTTTTTTATTTGAGAAAGTTTTAGTTAGGGTGACTCCACAATATAGGGTCAGGGCATATCTAATACTCAATTGAGATTTATATAGTAATTTATAGATTACCCAGCAAAAGGGACAACGGTAAGATTCGAACTTAACCTTACAAACTCAAAATCTGTAATCTCAACTACTTATGCCAACACACGTTGACTAATATTTTAACCATAAATCTTCTAGTTTTATAAATAAAATTGAAAATCAGTCACAGGTCTCATGTACTTATTTATTATTACATGTTATAATTATGTATCACTATTTCAATCTTACTTATAAAGCTTAAAAACTTGAATAAGAATATTTATTTTATCAATGTACCTAAAATAATTTCCTTCAAAATTTATCAAGTAATTTTAATAATTAAAAATATTATTCTTTTTTGAAAATTTAAATTCGAATAATGTATATATATATTATTGGTAATTTAAAAAAATTATAAACACATATTACTCAACTAATCTCAAGCTATTAAAAGAAAGTCCTTTTAGGCTAATCATGTGGGACCATGAATAATTACAAGGCTCCAAAACAAGAGAAGAAAAGAGAGATTTAACCGAACAAAAGGGGCCCATTGCCAGCCAAGATACACTCAAAAAGTCTCCTTGTGTGGCATGTCTGGCCCACAAAGCCCACTGTCACAATCTCTTCTGCTCCACACGTGTGCACCCTTAACTTAGAATGGAACCACATAACCAAATCAATGTTAACATCTATCGGAGACAGTACATGTGTGACCATTTTATAGGTATAATGTTAAAATTAGTCCCAATATTCACAAAAAATTAGCATTTCAGCTCTTACTCTTTTTCAAATTAATTTGACCTCCAAAATTTTATTTTAGAGTAAAAGAGCTATATGTTTGATTAAAAATCACTTTGGTCCTTGTTCTTTTTTTTTATCATTTTGACCCTTAATATTTAATTTTACGATAAAAATGCCCCTATTTTATTGTTTTAATCGTTTATTAATTAATAATCTTATCCACAAATTTGTCTTTTTTCCGTAAAATAAAAGTTGAGGGTCAAAATATTAAAAAAATAAAACAAAATCAAAACAACTATTTAGTTAAACACTATAGATATTTTTTGACATTATACCTTGATAATATTAAGTCTTTCTAAATTTTTCCTTTTATAAAAAAAGATCAATTTCTTTTTTTCACTAAATTTCTTATTTTTCGACATTTTTTTATGTAGACTCTTTTTTAAAAAAAATTCTTAATCAATAATATTTAATGCATTCATCATAAATTAGAATATTTAAAAATTTTCGAAGAAATTATGGTGTCGACAATTAGGTGTAGGTGGTGAGATGCTGACTATATTTCTAACAAAGACATCCTCATGTAGCCATGATGGGAACAAAAAAAATAGAAAAGTCAATATTACTAGCACTAACATACAAGGGTTTAAAAGAAATTTTGCTTCCAAAAATAATGAAGACGATAGACACTTTTTGACTTTATAACTTAAATATATGATAGAATCAAATGTTAGGGATGTAAATGAATAGGGTGTTGGAAAAAATTTGATAATTTTTGAGTTTTGAATGATAAATTGATTCAAACGTTGTTGAGGAAAATGTAGAATAAATTATTGGTTTGTAAATGTGCAGACGTGCACGATGTGGGTAACGTGAATGTCCGAACCGGTCTAGCTCTTTGTGAGCTTGCGGATATAACCCACATGTGAGATATTTTCCTCAAATAGAGAATATCTTTTCAAAATATTTTTTGGAATTAAAAGAAAAATTTATTAAAAATATATTCCTTTAATCAAAACAGTAATTTTGGAAATTGTTTATTTGTTTAATTCTCATTAATGCTTCATTAAGTCAAAAGTTTTCAAATGTGAACTCCCTATAAATACCGTGTTAACCTACTAGGTTAAACACAATTGAAAACAACTCAAAAACTATTTAAAAAAGTTTTCTCCCTTATTTTGTTTTTGTGATAGACGAAGACAATAAATAGTTTGTGATCTCTACAGTTGTGCTACTGTGCGTTGATCATCTCTTTGGTGTATCCTATGAGACAGACGACCAAAGATCCCAAGCCTCGAGGAGTGGCCAGGAAATTTGTCTTAAGGAAACTACGTAGTTGCAGGCCTCAACTCGGTTCCAATCATTGATTCTATACTCCTTCTGATTATTAAATGGAATATTTTTCTATGTTATTAATCATTTTGTTTTATTCTTGTTTCATGTATACGTATTTTGCGATGAGATCCTACCGAGATGTTGTTCGTATTTTTCCGCAATTTGTTGAATCACCAAGGGAAAATTTTAGGAATATGTTTCTTGTTTATATTTGGTTTTGTCGCTACATACCAATTATTATTTGGTATTACATGCGTTCAAGGTGGCATGACACCATGGTACAAATTAATGTAATTTATTCATTTTGTTTTAATTATTATTTCGTTGTATCGCCTAAAATTGTTATACATCTAACAATCTTAAGACAAATTATATTTTCTACCTTTTTGAAAATAAATTCGAGACGATTCGAAAATATTGGAAAATTTGAGATAAGCAAATAAATTCGTGTTTGGGATTTATCCTGCCGTTTTAATGGGTTTGCTTAATTTCAAAGTGGACAAATCTATGTAATAGAAATTGTCGTTAAAGTAATGATATTACTATGCTTGAAACGTTGTTTCTTTTCGATAATAAAAATCGAAAATAAGCGAGATTGATTTGAATCTACGTAATAGTACATGAACCTTTTTTTGTAAATTGTTTTACAAAATCACGTTGGAATCAACTTGTGTAAATACGCAAATGCATGGTGACTAGTGTATAGTAACTAGCACACTGTGATTTGTCTTTTTTTTTCAAATAAAAGAATAAATGTGATTCTTTGGTTATGGAAAAAAATTCATATGTGGTTATTGCCCATAAAAGTGAACGTGAGCATTAATCATGATATTATTGTTATGGTATTATTACCATATAACCTTTGGCATATTAATATGGAATATTAAATATGACATGAATAAATAATACATTTGATATTTATAATTATTATTAAATGTTATAATAATTGTCTGTGTTTTTGGAAACACTATAAATTTTATAATTGTACTAAAAAAATTCTTTTTCAGAAATTTTGTAGATACATACGAATTTTAAGTTTAATTCAAGGCTTTTGATTATTGGTTGTCAAAACTAAAATCAAATGATTAGTTCCCTTTTATTATTGTGTTGCAAAAAGTAAAATCAAAAGATTAGTTCATTGTGACCAATAGGTTGGTAAAATTAAAGGATCAATTCCTTTTGATTTTTGTTTGTTAAACAAAATTGAGTCGTTGTGATATATCTGTTTTGGGTTTTAGCGTTGCTAATCATGTCTGTTAACATAATACAAAGAAATAAATCACTGTATTTATTTCATCCTAGAATCTTGCTTTGATTCTAACTTTGTAAGAGAATTATATTGTTGAATTTATTTCCTTGAGGATCTTAAATGATTCTAATTAACTTTATAAGGAAAATAAATTGTTGAATTTATTTCCTTGAGATTCTTGAATGATAGGAAAATAAATTGTTGAATTTATTTCCTTGAGAATCTTAAATGATTTTAACTTTGTAAGAAAAATAAATTGTTGAATTTATTTTCTTGAGAATCTTAAATGATTCTATTTTGTTAAAGGAAATAAATTGTTAAATTTATTTTCTCATGAATCTTGAATAAAGAAATAAATTGTTGAATTTATTTTCTTATACGATTTTATCTTTTAAAAGGAAATAAATCATCGGATTTATTTTCCTATTTTGGAAAAGGAAACAAATCGTTGAATTTAGTTTCTTGTTTTGTAAAAGGAAATAAATCATAGAATTTATTTTCATATTTTAAAAAATGAAATAAAATCGTTGG